AATCATAGGTCCGTTTGCTCATCGGTAAAAGTGTGGTACAAAATAACTAACTTTGCTTTAATTTGCAGAGGATCTGCGAAAAACTTTCGGCGACATCATCAAACGTGAGCACGATAATAATCGAACTGATTCTTCTCAAAAATTATAGTTTCCAAAAGCTAAAATCCCACTTTTATAATTTTTCCGCAAAAACGCCTTTGTCTCCGATAAGCCTGACCTTCATAATAAAAATTCCTGTTATGGCGCATGGAAAAATTCCCTTGTAAAATTATACAATGGTTTTACTACCGCAACATGAAGCAGCTTGACGGAAAAGAAATTTTAAAAATACTATTTTAAAAATACTCAGTAAACCAAATGGTGCTCGAGGATGGTGTAGACGCTGGCGTGTCAACTATCTGTAAAAAAATCAACCCATTGATTTTGGAAATCAACATAGCCCGCCATATTTTGCGTCCTGATGGCTGAAGGACGGGCATCTTCCTTCATTACGGTAGTCTAAAATTTAAAGAGCTGCCCGATGTAGTGCGCTCGAAATTTAGATTCTGGAAAACGGTACTTGATGAATTGGTTGAACCTTGATAAACAGGAGGAATGAGATTTTCGGTTTAAAAAAAGCTAACTATCACATTTTAGTTTTTCGGATGGATTTAGTCGAAATCAAAGGATTTTCAACCACAGGCTCGAGCCGACCGCTCGTCCTTGTGAATGACATCCCGATTCCTGCTTTCTTTGCAAATACCCTTAACTGCAATTTTGAGCATCATATGTGTAATAGTCAGACCACAAGAAAAGCTAGATTTTTCCATCTTCTTTGTTCTATTCAGACCTCAAAGTAAACACAAGCACCTTAATAGGTTTATGGTCCCAAAAAATTCTCAGTACATGGGACTTGTTTCACCTACGGTGTCCCGAGCCTTTAGGCATGCGGTGAATTCGGTTACAGAAGAAAACATTGATTTAAAGCTACGCTCATTGTTCTCGTGGGTCTGTAGGTTTTTCTTTGGTGTTTTATAACAAAGAGCTCCGCGGCTAAAAGCTCTCCTCTTTCCACTGGTACGGTGCTACTTTTTTGTTAGCCGGTAACATAGGCTGAGGTTATCTAGTAGAAGTCGGGATGCGAGTTCGGACTCCCTAACCAAAGTTTCACGCACACACCTAAATGTTAGCTTCTGCTATACCGCGTTTAATTGCTACTTGCATGTTCGTGAAAATAACCGTATATCAACTTTGCTGAATTTCAGTTGTGTGCGACGTAATATGTGAGTATATGGTACAGCTAATTTTACCCCTTGGCGGTTATTCAAATTGGGACTGGTTACAACGTTACATAACACTCCGGTTCTACGGCGACTGTTTATGCAAATAGCTATATTTGGTTGCAAAATTCAATTCACAATATGTGGTCTGGAACAGACTCTCAGTAAATTATAAACTGCCCGCATTTTTGCACCATTATGAACGTATCCTTTCTAAGAAACTAATATTTATTTCATAGGTTGATTAGCTTGCGCTTTCTCACCTC